AGCCTGGTAAAGCCACATGGCTACAAATAATGGAACTCTGGGCAGAAGAATAGCTAAAACTTCAAGTTAGTCAACTGACAGTGTAAAGATGAATTATGGGCATTTGAAAATATCCTCAAAGAAATGAATGATTAGAAGAATAAGTTAATCTATCACCACAAATGAGCAAGGGATAACAAAGGAACACCCTCCATGAAGTATTGGAACCCAAACAATGTCAAGATAATACCACAACATCTTGAGTGGATCCCTTGTAGGGAACTTGCAGAGGACCACACATGGACAAAAACTGAAAAGCATAAGAAGGCATGGATAGGTTGTGCAGGAAGCACCCTCATCAGTGAGATCATGGAACAGTTGAAATGCTGAAAGCCAAAGTTTTCTTCTAAAAAAAAAAATAAGTCCCTGGAATCTTTAGAATGCAAACTCTAATATATGTGTTTATAAGAAAAAAAAGTTACAAGTGTCATCTTCCCTTATAGGGATGTAAACAGTTTGTCCTTATTAATAACATGTTGTTTCTTTCTGTCCCATTTACCTTTTTATGTCTCTCTTGAGTCTTGTGTTTGAAAATCAGATTTTCTGTTGAGCTCTGGTCTTTTTATCAGGAAGGTTTGGAAGTCCCCTATTTCATTGAATATCCATCTCCTCCCCTGAAAGATCATGCTCATTTTCGCTGGGTAGTTGATCCTTGGTTGTAATCCAGGCTTCTTTGCCTTGTGGAATATCATATTCTACATCCTATGGTCTTTTAATGTAGAAGCTGCAAGGTCCTCTATAATCCTGACTGTGGTTCCATGATATTTTGTTGTTTTTTGTTTTTTTGTTTTTTTGGGGTTTTTTTGCTTAGGCAGTTGGGGTTAAGTGACTTGCCCAAGGTCACACAGCTAGTAAATGTCAGTTGTCTGAGGCTAGATTTGAACTCAGGTCCTCCTGATTCTAAGGCCAGAGCTCTATCCACTGCACCACCTAGCTGCCCCGATTCCATGATATTTCAATTGTTTCTTTCTGGCTGCTTGCAATATTTTCTCTTTGACCTGGTAATTTTGGAATCTGGCTACCATATTCCTTGGCGTTTTCAATTTGGGATCTCTTTCAGGAGGTGATTGGTGAATTCTTTCTATGGCTATTTTACCCTCTGGTTCTAGGACCTTAGGGCAGTTTTCCTATATGATTTCCTGAAAGATGCTGGCCAGGCTCTTTTTTTCATCATGATTTTCAGGTAGACCAATAATTTTTAAATTGTCTCTCCTGGATCGATTTTCCAGGTCAGTTTTTTTTTTACCAGTGAGATATTTTATGTTTTCATCTATATTTTCATTCTTTTGTTTTTGTTTGACTGATTCTTGCTCTCTCATAGAGTCATTAGCTTCCATTTGCCCAATTCTAATTTTTAACAAATTGTTTTCTTCTATTGGATTTTGTACCTCCTTCCCCATTTGGCCAGTTGTATTTTTTAGGGACTTGTTTTCTTTGGTGTACTTTTTTTTCCAGTTGGCCAATTGTATTTTTTAAGGATTTGTTTTCTACAGTTAATTTTTGTCCTTCCTTTTCCAAGCTATTGACTCTCTCTTGCATACCTCTCATTTCTTTTCCATTTTTTCTTCTACCTTTCTCATTTGACTTTTAAAATCCTTCTTGAGCTCTTCTAAGAAAGGCTTTTTAGGCTTCAGACCAGTTCATATTCCCTTTTGAGGTTCCAGATGTGGGTTTGTTGACAATGTTGTCCTCTTCAGAATTTCTGCCTTGATCTTCATTATTCCCATAATAAGAATCTATCATTTGTTTCTTTTTGCTCATGGTGTTTGCTTATTTCCTGGCCTTTGAAGAGGTTGAGCTCTTCTGCTGGGGAGCAGAGGGCACTGACCCAAGCTTCTTGTGTTGGGAGCCTAGGGCCTGGTCACTGGCTTTGTGTGCTGGGACCTCTAATGCTGGCAGTTGGAGGCTGTAGGGTTTTTTGTTTTTTTGGTTTTTTTTTTTTTGCTTAGGCAGCTTACCTGGTGTTGGGTTGGAATCAGCAACACTGGCACTCTAGGGGTAGGATTGGGTAGTCTGGCCCCTGGAGTTTGCCTGCTTTTCCTTTCCTTTCACTTTCCTCAGCTCCTTTCAGATGGATGTTGCAGGACGTTTATCTGCCTGGGGACCCTTGGAGCATTGTTTCCCTTAGTTTTGCTGAGGCACTGGGAGACCCAGTTGCTGTAGAATGCCAAGACACCCAGTGGTTTTCCAAGCTGGTTTCCACCAGTTCTCCCCGCCCCCCCCAGACACCCAAGGGTCCAGGTGTTTAAGTGCTCCACCACCTGGGTTTCAGGATCTCCTCCCAGTATGCTGAGATGGGGCTTTCCGCTAGCTTGCTGGGATGCCTCCCATTCTGTACTGCTCCCCTTCCCCCAGGGCAGTAGGGGCCTTTCCTGTTAATCCCTCAAGCTACCTGGGCTTCTGGACTGCTGCATCCCATCTTTCTTCTGGTTCAGCTGTTCTAGAGTGTTTCCTGGGGTTATATTTTTCTGGGCTTTCAGAGATTAATAAGGGAATGTAAGAGCAACTTACTTCTTACTCTGCCATCTTGGTTTCCGGAAGTGGAAGTCTGCTGCTGTTTTCAGAGTTAGTTCTAGGGGTTTGCAAGTTTTCAGTGCTTCCAAGGTGGTATGATCTTTGGAGAGCTGTGGTCGTTGCTGTCATGGTCTGCACTCTTGTCTCTACCCAGGAAGGGCCCCTACTTCCCTGCAGCTACAAGCAGTGGCCCTCCTCATGACCCTGGGACTGTGACCATGATCCCAACTCTCCTGTAACCACAAGCTCTAGTGCTCCTCTTGGCCTTAGAATTGTGACTGGGTCCCCTGCTTGCTGTAGCCACAAGTGCTAGTGCTGTTATCTGCCTTGAAACTTCAAGCAATGTCCCTGTTCCCTTGTGATGGACCACAAACACTCCTCTTTCCCTTGGAACTGTGACCTAGAACTCTTTATGAGCAGTAATGTTGCCAGTCAGCACCAGCAGCACCCAGAGCCAGCAAAGCGTCCCTTGTAATTTCTTTTGAATAGGTGTCTTACTTCTATGTTCTCTGGGCTGAGAGCCCGCAAACTTCTTGTTATGCTTTTGCCACATTCCCTAAGGCCTAAAGTGTTGCTGCCACCTGTACTTGCCTCCACCCTGATGTCACAGACTTCTCTTGCCAACCTCCCAGGTTGTCTTAGGCTAGAAAAATCTCTCACTTTGATCATTTATGTCTCTGCTGCTCCAAAATTTGATTTGAGGTGTTATTTTAAAATCTTTTGGAAGGGAATATTCGAATAATTCTGGTGCCTCTACTCTGCCATTTTGGCTTTCTTTCTTAAGTGTTTAATAAATACTTGTTGACAAGGGGGGAAAAACTTATGCTTATGTCACATACTACATATCCCAAAATATATTTCTCAGTTAGAGTGTGTATGTAAGTATATGAAATGTTAATACGACAAGCTCTGGGGAACTAGGTCCATAGTTTCTTTTTCAGCTTCCATGTCATCCTTGCCACTTCTTAGAGACTCCAATTTTACCATGAATTTGAATCACTTATATGATATAATATTCAATCCCTTAACTTTTTTTCCATGATATTTTTGTTACAGTTAATCATATTTTTCACAGATACAGAATCTACTCTCTAGGGTTTCGATGGAGTCTATATGTTTGTTGTTTGAACTGATTCATAGAATCTTCTATTCAGAAGGGAGAAAAGATATCTCCTTCATTTTGTATAAGAGAAAATTTAGTCTCAAAGATAGTGACTTGCTCAAAGTCATATATGTAGTAGAGCTAATCTTCAAACCATGATGCTTCTCTCTGTCTCTCCCTCTCCCTCCCCCTCATACACATGCGCACACACAGACATGGAGAAGGTGTGTCTATGCATGCAGTTTTCTGTAGCCTCTGCTTCTTTATCTGTCATTTTCTTTAAGTTTGAAAGATTTTGTATTCTTTTGGATTTGTTCAGTATTTAGCCACATAGCTGATTTACACTGGTAGAGTTCTTCACTAGGAGTTTCTACCACAGATATAATTGTAAATCTGGTCAGAAAATATACACACACTTGCACACACTCCCTGTTTTGTGCTCAGCAGTGGATAAATGTTTTATATGTACATGAACATGCTGTATATGTGAGTATTTTTGTGTATTTTATGTGTATATATATCTTTTATATGGTATCAAGAAAAAAAGGGATTTTAGAATTTTAATTCATACTTCACTATAATGATGTCTTTCCAATGTTATCTAACAGTAAAATATTTTTTGAAATTAACATAGCAAGATTGTCTAAACTAAGAATTAATTTTAAAATTAATACTAAAATAACATTCGTGATTAAATTTAGTAAAATTGCAGATTGGCTTAGAAAAGCCTAATATGTTTCTTTAAAGTGTTCTTTGAAACCCTGCTTACTCTGACTTATGTTGAAGACATTTTTAAAAGCCACAGCTGCCTTGTATTTTATTTGTAGCTATCCTGTATAGACTTGTGGTACATCTTGTTTCCTCGAGAAAATGTGAGTTCCTTGAAGGCAGGGCCTCATTTTATTTCTATCTGTGTATCTGTCAGTTCTTAGCACAGTGCCTGGCACAAAGGAAATGCTTGTTGAGTTAATGGTAGCTGTGTGGCCATAGACGTATCTTAGTTCTCCAGGTGACACTTTAAAAGTCTCTAAGTTAAAAATGAGGTTCTGCTCTCTCTCAGTAGTGGGAGTTTCATACCATGAGTTTCTGTACTGATGAAATTACAGGTCTATTCCCTCATCCCTAAAAAGACTATGATGTGCTTTCCTAGACACCAAGAAAATGTTGTTGTTCATATAGTAATATCTCATTGCAGTAATTATTATGTTCTAATTTCTAACAGTATTTTCATCTGTGAAACAGAAACTCCCATAAAAATAGTTTTCTTCAAATTGTTGGCTTATATTAATGATATGACTATTTTTTCTTTTTCTTTTTCTTTTTTTTTTTTTTGGTAATTTAATAGCCAAAATGAAAGGGAAGAGTTTGAAAGTGAATTTAAACAAAAATATGAACGAGAAAAGACTCTGTTGACTGAAGAAAATAAAAAACTCTCAAATGAGCTTGATAAGGTGAGTGATTCAATCCAACAAATATTTGCTGTTGGTGTTTGTCCTTCCTTCTCCAAGAGGACTATGACATGAGGGAGGTGAAGCCATGACATGCAAGTGAATTCTGTGCAAAGTCACCAGCCTGACTTTCTCCTCTGGAGACATCTGAGTCCAATGGCCAGATAATGGATCAGGACAACTGGAGATGTCCCAGGATACAGTGGAGGACCTTGGCCTTTTCAAACTAAGGTCTTTAAGAGGTCTCAGTTTGATTGAGGCAGTTGCCCATTCAGTGATTAAGGCTTAGCAGAATGAGGCAAAGAATTGCCTCTTAAAAAAAATAGATTTGGGAGGGGAATACCCTTAGAGTTGCCGGCTGAAACAGAAACAATTGTTATTTACATTCATTCTGAGCCAATCAGGGCCCAAACAGTGACCAAGTAGGGCTTGGTCTGGGACCAGAGTGATTTGGAGTAGGCTGGTCTTTAAGAGAAAAAAACAAAACAAAATGAAAACGTTTCAGAGATTAAAAATTACATTCCCTTTGATCAGAACACTGGTAGATAAAAGTCATGGAAGTATAGATTTATGTTAGGCATCCTTTTTTTTTTTTTTAAAGGAAAACTTTCCCTTTCAGGGCCAAATTATTTTCTTGGAATAGACAGTCTCCCCCATATCAGAACAGTTCAAGGTTGTAAGATATGTTTATATTTCTTTATCCCTTCCACTTTTTTACAGTTTTATACATTCTCTCATTTCTTTTCTTTCCATTTTGTTTCATACAACCTCATTTTCTTCTGGGTAGGACTAAAACACTTGAGCAAGAGTAGATTTTTGCAGAGACAGCCTTGATGAATCATGAAGATGTAAAAGTAGGATAATGGGGAAATCTTTGAAAGTGATCTAGGCCACCCAGCAAAACTGAGTATAATCCTTCAGGGTAAAAAATGGTCATTCAGTGAAATAGGGGACTTTCAAGAATTCTTGATGAAAAGACCACAGCTGAATAGAAAATCTGACTTTCAAATACAAGACTCAAGTGAAACATGAAGAGGTAAACAGGAAAGAGAAATCTTAAGAGACTTATTAAGGATGAACTGTTTACATTCCTGTATGGAAAGATGATATTTGTAACTCATGAGTCCTTTGTCAGTATTAGGGCAGTGGGAGGGAAAAAATTATATGTATGTATAGATAGATAGATAGATAGATAGATGACACAGGGTGAGTTGAAGATGAAGGGGTGATATCTGGAAAATAAAATTAAGGGGGGAGAGAGGATTATGCTGGGAGGAGAAAGGGAGAGAGATAGAATGGGGTAAATTATCTCACATGAAACAGACAAGAAAAGGTTTTTACAGTGGAGGGAAAATGGGGGAAGGTGAGAGGGTATGAGTGAATCTTACTCTCATAGGATTTGGCTTAAGGAGGGAATAACATACACAATGGGGTATGGAAATCTATCATACCCTATAGGAAAATGAGGAGAGAAGGGGACAAGAGAGCAGGGGGTTGATAGAGGGGAGGGCAGATTCAGGGAGGGGATAATCAAAAGCAAACACTTCTGAGGAGGGATAAGGTCAAAAGAGAGAATAGAATAAATGGGGGGTAGGATAGGATGAAGGGAAATATACTTAGTTTTTCACAACATGACTACTGTGGAAATGTTTTGCATTACTACACATCTATAACCTGTATTGAGTTGCTTGCCTTTTCAATGAGGATGGGTGGGGAGGGAGGGAGAAAATTTGTAACCCAAAGTTTTAAAAACACATGTTAAAAAAAAAAAAGCACAAGAAGGAAAAAAAAACAAATACCCTCTAACTTTAGAAACCTAGATAATTATTCTGGAACTTACAGTGTTAGAAATTTGGGGTGATAAGAGGTTAAATGACATGTTCAGGGTCACACAACTAGCATATACCATAGATGGCACTTGAACCTAGACAACATTCCTGAGTCTGAGCTAGCTCTCTATCCCCTGTGCTTTCACTATGCTGTCTCTTATGCTTTCTCCCCTATGCGTTTCAGTTAGGTAACCTGCAAATAATAAGTGCCCTGTGATTTTAAAACATTTCATAACAATTGGCTTTCAAATACTAAAACACATCTGTAATCTCATTGATTTAGAAGTTACCAAGGTATCTCCATGGAGCAATGAATTGTGCTCTGGACTGGAGGCAGGAAGACTTCAAACCTGGCCTCAGATACTTACTAGCTGAGCGACCTTAGGCAAGTCACTTCACCTCTGTTTGCCTCAATTTCCTCAACTGTAAAGTTGGGATAATAACAAATCTTACTTACCAGGTTGTAATGAGGATCAAATGAGATAATGTTTGTAAAAAGAACTTATTACAGTGTCTAGCACATCATAGTAGTTGGTCAATAAATTCTTATCTCCACTGATAAAAATCACAACCCATCCTTGTCTATTTATCCAAAGTGATCTATGTTCTTCTAAAAGGTGTCCACAAGTAGTGTACTCCATGCACAGAAAATCTTCCTTATTTTCTCCCACAATCTCAAAGGTATCAGTAGAGACTGGTCCAATCATAAAATTCCTTGATAATTTCCTTTACCATTGTTCTTTATTTGAGCTCTTTGTTGGTTATAAATTGCAGTCTGTTTATACCCACTAAAAAAAAAAAAGTGATCCAGGCTCATGAAATAAACCATCAGCTACTTGGTGGGATTTTTTTTACATCTAGTTCGTCTTCAGGTAGTATTGGTATACTTTTTAGGTTTTGGACATGTCACTCTGAAATGGAACAGAAATTTTTACAGGTAGGCCCCAATTAATGCAAAATATGAATGCCATAAGTTGGGATAATGAATCACATGTATTCAAATTTGCAATATATGAAGTTATAATTATGTGAGTTTGGGTTCCTCTTAATGGAAATATGCAGTACAAATCGTAATAATGCAGTAACATCATTGAATTTATTATTTGTAGTAATTGGGACCTAACTGTGTAGTGCTAGCTGCATACTGCTAAAATTTTAATAAGGAAAGATTGTATTTTGACATAAAAAATTTTTTTTAACATACTATATGGCTTTCAGTTCTCTACTTTCAGACATCATGACTGATTTAATTCAAGAAACAGTTATAAGTGCGTACTATGCAAAATGCTTAACAAACAACTGTGATGCTATCAAAGAATTTAGTTTAGTAGTCTAAACTGGCTCATTTCCATTTTTGTCCCACATACCTTCTCTTCTCCCACATTTACTTCTTTTGACTATTTAATTTTCCAAACTTCATAAAACATTACCTGGCTTGTTTTGCTGAAAACAACTTGAGAAGAAATATTAATGTATATGGTAACCTCCTGTGCAACTAAACCGCATAGTATTTTGAAAGATAACAAAGCCTCAAGCAATGCCTTAAATAAATTTAAAATTAAATGATTTATGTGAATTTTAAGACTTTTTAGAAGCAAACCTTGAAGTTTTTAAACAAATGTGAAACTAGTAGTTTAACTAGATAAAAAAAAGCCTAGTTTCTCTTTCAATTAGTTAACATGTATATACCTGTTAATTACCACAGAGTTGGAGATTTGTCTTATAAGCTCAAGAGTTACATTGAGATCAGAAATTACACATTACAAGATGATTTCACTTGGAATCACTGTGGTATAATTAGAGAGTGCAGAGAAACAATCTGAAGTGATATAATGTGTAGTAAAATTGAGAAGAAAACTGGTCAGTTCCCCAGTTGAGTTAACAGCCAGTTATTCCATTTCATTGCTAGTTTTTACATTATTGCTAGCTCTATGTGAAATAAACATCTGATGCTAACATCTTAAATGATCCTTTAAATAAAAAAATCATAGGTCAAAACAAGGCCTGGTCACAAAGGTTGGAGAAAAAGGACTAGGCTTCTGTTCCTCCTTGGGCATTGGTCCTGGTCCGTTTCTCCTTGCACTGCTTTTTTGGATTGTTTCTGCTATTCTGCCTCAACTCTAGTTTCTTTGTGTTTTGCTTCTTTTCTGCTTTTAATTTAAGGTTTTAATTTGCTTCTTTCTAAAAATAGTTAGAAAATGATTTTCCTTAAGGGCAGTTGTCTGATTATGTCGTTCCTTTCTTCAGTAAAATCCAGTGGTCTTCTTTGGCCTCTAGGACAAAATATAAATTCCTCTTTTTGGCGTTTAAAGTCATTCAGCACCTGACTGGCTCCATTCTGTCTTCTTAGCCTGGTTGCTCCTTGTACTTGTTTACACGCTCTGAGATCCTGAGGGGCCTGGCCCTCTGATTGTTGTACATCCTCCCATCACTTCCTCTTCCTCCTCACCTTGCCTCTTAGACCTCCTCGTTTCCTTCAGGAGCAGCTCAAGTGCACTATTCTTGATGACACCTTTCCTGATCCTTCTAGCTGCAGTCACCCTCCCTCAGTCATACCTTCTGTCTAGTTACATACCCCTATATATGTCCATGTTGTCTCCCCAACTTAAGTTTTTTAAGGGCAGGGATTGTTTCATTTTTGTCTTTGTGTGCCTAGCTCCTAGCATCCATTTCTTGGCACATAGTCAACAATAATAAATGCATGTTGATTGATTTTGGGGAGCATCCAGACTTCTTACTATTGTCCTTTATTATTACCCCATTTTCTTTCAGCAGCAGAAGTCTTTTTTTTCATTTTTCTTTTATTCCCTAGCATAGAATCCCCCCAAAAGTTCTTTTCCTTAATATTCATCACTATCTAATTTTGAGCTTTAACTCTCCTGACTCTGTCCTTACCAAACTGTTATTTTAAAATTCTTTCCGCTTATTATACATGTCATAAAATTTTGAGTTAGTTGATGAGTTCTGTTTACATAGTAACATTGTTCTCTTTGAACAAATCCGTACTTTTTCCTCTTAAGAATAATTTCTTCTTTATTTTCTTTAAAGTTTTATCAATAATTTGTTTTTACACTAGTCATTTCCATTTATTATAATAGAAACATTACAATTTAACAAAGAAAAATAGCCTTACAACCTATGAGATGTTCTACACCTTCTACTTCTGTTTCTACCATTCTTTACTTTGTGTGTGTGTGTGTGTGTGTGTGTGTATGTGTGTGTGTGTGTGTGTGTGTGTGTGGCGGGGGGAATTATCCTTTTGATTTTCTTTGATATTTGTTATATATACCATGGAGAAGATTTACAGTGTGGTTGCTGGTCATAAGTATAGCCTGTACCCCACTTTGCTTCATATATCATACTGTGTGTGATTCCTACTAAAAAAAGCTTTGTGCTGGTATCTGGGTAGAAGAAGAAAACCTAGATGCCTTCTCAATCATTTAAGACAAGGCACCTAAGTGGTAGTTGTAGACTTTATTTTTATACTGTAGAAAGATCCTAGACTGTAAGTTCTTCATACATTATTTCAAAAATTCTTACCTATTTTATTTATTAACTCTTCTTCTTTCAGTTCTGCTTTCTACTAATTGAACCAAAACAAAAAACCTTTTAACAAATATACATAGTTCAGCAAAACAAAATTCCACATTGGCTATGTATAAAAATGTATGTCTCATTTTGCCTTTTAAAATTCCATCACCTAAAAGTGTTGCTTTCATTTTTTATGATGCATTGTGTGTGTTTCATTACATAGTTATATAAGGGATATCCTTTATTTCAAAATGCTTTCTTTCAAATAGGCCATTTATATGTGACTATTTGCAGAAGACAAGTTTAAAATACAAATGTTTCTGAAATATGCTTGATGTAGAATATATGATAAAGACAACAAATGAATGGCATATCTAATAAAAATGATGGTTTGCTCCAACTCCTAAAAAAAAAATTCCATCACCTTTCTGGCAAGAATAAATATGTTATCAGTAGACCTGGTTCATGTTATTAAAAAGCAAGAAGTGAAAAAGAAATAGAAGGAATACTGGGTAAAGTTTTAGAGGAGATGAGGTTTTTCTTTATAATGAATATTAGCTACAAATTGAGTAAATCATGTTCCTTTAAAATAAGAGCAAATGAATTTTTTAAGGAAAAATACACTTTTGTATTTTGACTTATTTTTCCAAAGTTGCAAAAATGTGTATGTTGGGAATGTAAATTAAGAAACATTCAAACAAAATGGATAATTGAAAGGAGTGTTAAACAAAATTGTTTAAATGTTAAATGTTAAAGAAATGTTAACTCTTCTTTGATTTAAATAGAATAAACAAGGTGATCTTTTAGAAGGGATGGTATAGTTTGAAAACTTTGATGTGAAGGCTTTAAAAAGCAGTGAGTACTTAACAGGATAGGCTAAACATCACCTCTGCATAAACTACTTTATCTTTAAATTAACAAGTTTTAATGCATGATTGAGATGCAAATTTCTGCCCATATATAATCATGCTTACTTATTTGTAAACAGGAAAATCTTAATGAGTTCAAAAATCATGTTGCCTTTTTGAACTTGAAGTGATTGTTAATTCCATTGGCCATATCTCAGCAATATATTAAGGTCCCCCTCTCAAAAATGTAGCTCTTTCTAATGTTCTTTTTTGAATGAATTATGCTTTTATCAGAAATTGTAGCATTCTAAAAGTGTCTAGTAGCTCACAAATTTTCACACATATCCTTTATGATTTTTGAAGTTTTTTTTATATACAAGACACAAACTTATTCACTCAGGCAATAGTGTCTGTCTTTTTAAGGAGCTAGAAAAGAAGTCTTTTGAAAAGTAACATTATTAAAACAAAGCAGATTTGAAGGTGACAATAGTCTCTAGAACTCAATTTGGGAGTAAAATTGTGAAAACAGATTTTCTAATGAATTTTTATGTGTTATTTCAAGGTAGTTTCCAGGTAATTCGATCATGTTCTTAGTGTAAGTCAAAAAATTTGACAGATAGACTGTCTCAATGAGTAATTCAGATTACAGCTTCATGTCTTAAAATATCTTTTCAGCTCACTGCTATGTTTGAGAGATTAAGTATAACTAACCGACAACTAGAAGAAGAGATGAGAGATCTAGCAGATAAAAAGGAATCGGTTGCACATTGGGAGGCCCAAATCACAGAAATTATTCAGTGGTGAGTACTCCAATTTTAAATATGTCCTATTTAGAGAACTTGGTCATTGGGCAGATTGTTTCAATTACCAGGAGATTGCCAATAATGTCTTTAGCGTTGTTTTAATTGTCAAAAAGATTTTCCGTCCCACATTTCCACTGGGAAGGAAAAAAAATTGTTTATTCCAGAAACACAGGCTTTACTACTGTTCAGTCATTTTTATGCCATTGTGTGATTTCTGTGGATAGAGCCAGGAAATTCCTTTATTTCCCCCTTTGTTCTCCCACCTTGGCCTCATTTCCACCGCCAGGTTTCCCACAATTCACTTGAAAGCTACTCTTTCTCCTTAAGAACAAAGTTAACTACCCTTTTGTTGTATAGGTTAGACTTTTTAGGACTTAAGAAATACATCAATAATATTTAGTCACCCCTTTCTAAGACCAAAAGTTAAGTTTGTAATGGCTTTAAGGAACAAAAAGCCTAGAGAAAGAAGTAGCTGAAGAGAATATATCATTTTTTTCCTTCATTATAATATTGTGTTACATGTAATTTTTTTTAACTTTAGGTATGGTTTTATCAGTTCTCAATATTTGGTAAATGGGTAGTAATTTGAATCAACCTAAGTTTAAAGTTAATGTATTATTAAATTGCCAATCCTAGTGCTTTTACTAATTTCTCTGTTGTTATAAAACATAGGGAAAAACAAGTGGATGTTTATTCTCTTAATAGAAATACGTAAATCTTCTTCCCTTCCTCCCTAGCACTTTTTTTCCCATTGTCTTAATGCTGAATTTATCTAAAAACCACTTATTTCTAAATGTTTTTATAGATCAATTACTTTGGTAGTTTATTCTCAGTTACTGATCTTTTGATTCTTTAAACTATGTTTTTCATTTATCTTTTCTTCTACCAACTGAGGAATCTCATTTTAAAATCCAAATAAAAAGTGATTAAACAAATGGTACCTTTTTAAGGAAGCCTAGTTGAATTGATAGTGTTTTGATATCTATTTAAATGCAAAGCCCATATCTAAACAAAGGAGTGGGCTTATGAATGTGAAATTTCAGATGAGTTCCATATAGTGCAGCTAACAGTTCATAAACGTACACAATGTATATACCTGTCCAGAGAATATAATTTTTAACAGCAACCAAGGTTACAGTGTTAAGGTATCTAGAAAACTTAGTTTCCTTTTGAAGAAATTTTAATAGGATTTTGAATGCTAAACACACCATGAGTTTGATCACAACCTAGAACCTCTTCCCTTCATGTAGCTACCACAGTGGGCAGGGGCAGGAGAAAAAGAGTATTCAAGAAAGAAAGAAGCTTGGGTAAAATCATTGTAAAAATTTAGAGAAGAGGGGCAGCTAGGTGGCACAGTAGATAGAGCACTGGCTCTGAAGTCAGGAGAACTTGAGTTCAAATGGGGCCTCAGACCAAACACTTGACACTTACTAGCTGTATGACCCTGGGCAAGGTACTTAACCCCAATTGCCTAAAAAAAAAAAAATTAGAGAAGGAAAATGAAAATTGAGTGTGTATTTGCTATCACACATTACTGGTTCTAGTCTTCCAGTGTCATTTAGGAAAGATTGGACAACAATACACTGAAAATCAGCAATGCAAGGAAACCGCTTCACATGGAAGCTATTGTTTAAAGATTGACTAGTCAGTTAGTCCTCATATATTTTATTATATGCTTGCTCTATGTAAAGGAGTATAAAATGCACTTGCCCTCATGAAGTTTACAGCCCAATTGTAGAGGTACATCACGTGATAATCATAATACCAGCTCACATTTGTATAGTACTTTTTACAAAGTTTTTTTCTCAAAATCTTGGGATTAAGTAGTGAAGTATTATTACTCCCCATATAACATAGGAAGAAACTGTGAAACAACGGGTTAAGCAAACTGGCCCGGCGTACTATAGTATTAAGTGTCAACTCTGGGAATTGGACCTAAGTCATACAATCTAAGTCCAGTGTTCCACTTCTCCGCACTACTTCTCAACAGATTAAAAAAAAAATCAAACAATGTGGATTCTGTAAGTACTTCCAAAATACATATATCCATTTTATAGCTCATAGATCAAATAATTCTGAGGGGGAATGTCGGGCCCTGGACCTGACATATACTAATGGTGACAGTATTAGTATAGAAGCCTTATCAATTACATGTTATCTGATGAATCTGAGAGCACAGTTTATTATGACTTCTCCCAAATTGTGTCCCTTTTACTATACATGGTGCCAGTCAAACCCCAGACCTTCTGATAAGAACACAGATTTTGTTCATGCTCTGACTGCCCTCGTGTTGCATAAACATGAGACTCAAAAATCATTGCAGCCAAACTCTCTTACTCCATCTGGTGCTCACTACCTGGTCACAGACTAGTAAGGGACAAATCTCATGTTGTTCATCCTTTGTTTTCAGAGGACCAGTGACATCACAGATAATGGCTTGAATTGCATATAAATCGGATTTAAGTGAAGTAGTGTTACACAAAGTCTCTCTCTATCTGAGTCATCAAAGTCCAGTGGCAGGACAAAAGTCAAGATGACTGGCAATGACCCAGAATGCAGTGGACGATCTTGGAGTCTGTGATGTCTAACCAAGCTTTAAGTGTCCCACGGTGCCTGCTTCAGCCACCTTCGTGGCCATTGGGGTATATAGGGTGTATAGAGAGGACTAGTGCCTCTGGCGTTAGGGCTTGCAGAAGCCTTTCCAGGGCTGTTCGTTCACCTTAGGTGTCCACCTGTTACCCAGCTCTCACCTGTGGCCCCAAGAAGATTTAGTGTGTGAAGTAGCCATCTCAAACACGAGGAATGCTGTCCGCATTGCTTTTTCTTCTTTCTTGTTTTGGTTGAACACAGCCATAGGCATTAGGAGAGTAATGACTGAGTTTTCATCCAGTGAAAGGCTCTACCTGCTACTTTTCCTTCAAGGTCTACTGCCTTGCCCATATACTGAGAATGAGGACCCTTATCTCTGACTGGGGTACTCCTGTGCTCAGAGTTTGGTTGTGTCAGTGAGCCTGGGACAGGAACCCACATGTTCCAAGTAGGAACTCATAACACATTTTCTTACATTAACGGTTTTAGAGAGAGTGAATGGTTAGTAGAAAAAAAAAAAACTAAACTAAATTCAACAAATAATCGATTGGACTCTCTGCTCTGTATGAGGAGGCTTTGTGGTTGGCTCAGTGTATCCTGTTTTCAAGGACCTTACTTTCTATTTGAATATATGACATCATCATCATCACTAGCACTTTTATACTGATTTAAAGTTTGCAAAGCACTATATACGTGTTTTCTCATTAGATCCTCACAGTAATCCTAGGAGGTAGGTGCTGTTATTATCCCCCTTTTATAGAAGAGGAAACTGAGGCAGAGAGAAGGTAGATGATTGCCCAAGAATACAGAGCTAGTGTCTTCCTGACTCCAGTTACCCACCTAGCTGTCTGTAATAAATTCTTGAAAAGTTAATGAGCAACAGTGTATCATAATGGATAGTATGTTATACTTGGAGTCAGGCAGACCTGGATTTAAATCCCACCTCTGGCACTGTACTAGCTCTGTGATCACTTGTCCTGTCTGAGCCTTCATTTCTTTTTCTGTAAGATAAGTAATAACACCTATTTGCTACATTGCAAGGTTCTATAAAATAATATGTATATATCTCATGGTCCCAAACCCCAGGCTCAAGGGTTACATGATTGTGTTTTAGAGAATTTCTCTAAGCTGGCTCATTTTGCCCTAATACTGAGTTTCCTCTAAAAATCTCAGAATATAATTTTGTGTGTGGATCTCCACTGATGTGGGTAAAAAAGATCCTCTTTCCTGTGTAAGCACTCAAGATAACAATGTACAAAAGGTACAGAACAACCTTTATTTCACCCTACAGAAAATGCAAAGCCACACAAAGGACTTACTCTAACAAAAACAGCTGACAAAACTTCTTCTCCCTTAACAGTGAGTCCCACCTTCCAACTAGGGAACCTTCATAGGCTTTAGCCCTATAATACTATCCTTAAGATTTGGACTAGTCCCAGACAGAAAATGAACTTGAGATTGCTAATGAAGCAAATCACCCCAATGATAAACCTAAGCCACCAAGGTAACTTATCTGCTCAGTTCTTTTCTAAGAGGTTAATGTTGTCCAGGAATGACACCTTCCTTTCTATGCATGCTGGTTACAAAAACTTGGGATCTGGGAAATCTTCCCCTTCTTCTTTCTAGTAGACTGGGGCATGTGGCTCTTCAGGGATACCTGGTTTAGAGCATATATAACTGCATCACACTTCTGCCCTTAACTTTTTAATGTACCCATTAGCAGTTCTGGTTGGGAGTCTGCATATAACTAGGCTTTTCCCCCTCCATTATCACCTCAGATACATTCTTTTTTTTTAAGGCAATTGGGGTTAAGTGACTTGCCCAGGGTCACACAGCTAGTAAGTGTCAAGTTTGGTCTGTGGCCAGATTTGAACTCAGGTCCTCCTGACTTCAGGGCTGGTGCTCTATCCACTGCGCCACCTAGCTGCCCCCCATATACATTCTTAGTTCTCTTGAAGGTCTTTCTCTTTCTTCCTGTCTGACTCTCAGCTCAGACTTCCCTATTCTTTTTTATAGTCATAGTATAAATGCCAGAATGGGCAGGTAGGGGGGACCATAAATAGGATGCTGAGCCTGGTGTCAGGAAGACTCATTCCTGAGTTCAGATCTGGCCTCAGGCACTTACTACCTATGCGACCCTGGATAAGTCACTTAACTTTATTTGCTTCAGTTTCCTCATCTGTAAAATGAGCTGGAGAAGAAAATGGAAAACTATTCTAGTGTATTAGCCAAGAAAACCCCAGATTGGGTCATGAAGAGTCAGACATGACTGAAATGAGTGGACAACATAAAAGTCAGAAGCTCATATCCACAGTAGCCTAAACCAATCAGATTATTCCCAGATTAGGAGACTTATTCTCATATTTTGAATGAGTTAACAAATTACCAAGTCCATGAGAAGTACTCTG